AAACAGAAATCAATACAGCCTCGATAGCAACAATTTAATTGTGTCTCAACAGGAAGGTACTAAAAGGGTCTTCAAGAGAGCCAAGAGATCACCAGAGGAACTGAAAGCCGCCATGCGCTATCAAAACATTAGCTCCCACATGGCAACTATTATCCAAAAGTAAGAACATTTTCTTAATCGATGACCAACGCTTAAATGTAGAAACATCTCTGCTCTGTCCAACTGTGACATAATAATAATAATTTGGTCTCTCAATCCACAAATGTTTGTGGGACATTGCTGTAATTGGCGCAATTGGCTGCCGCGTTTCGCCCACAAAATATAGTCAATACACTTTACAGTGTATCCTGTGAAGCACTTTGAGACAGACGTGGTAAGGCCGTGGGTCAAATGCAAGGATTATTATTTTGCAATATATAGATTTATACATAAATATATGAATAATTATCAGACTAACAGCACCGAAAACTAATCTTGATATTGATGAAATTTGACTTCAATGGTTTTGCAATGAAAGGCTAGTAGGATATAAATGTTTTATTTATATATATATATATTTACACACACACACTTATACATATCTGCAGATTGACTACGAGAAAGAAGCGCAGTTCTGAGTTAAAACCTAGCGAGCAGGAAGACGTTGGGAAGAAGGGAAAGGTACCACGTTTACAGAGGAAGAAAATTCCAAGGAAAATTTCCGACGAGGGAAAAACCCAACTGGAAGAGGAGGAACAGAACGATCAGTTTGAGGAGCTTAAGGCTAATGCTCCTAATCTCCTCCGCAACATCGAGAGAATGTTCTATTACTGCAAGATCTTCAGGATACCCTATCCTGGCGGTTTGGAGAACATATTGAGCTACTCCTGGTCAGATCTGGTCAAAGGCACCAGTTACAACATCAAAGGGTCAACCGCTTGTCAAAGTTTGATCAAACCCGGGAAACACACGAACAAATCCGGGTCCCCAGATAGAATGACTGATGGTACAGACAAAGGTGGGGCCAAAAAGAAGTTAGTGTCGGAAACACAAACGGATACCGAAATTGCAGGTTCTGAAAAGGAAAAGCCCGGTAAACGTGAGTGTGTTATTACATCTGCTTCAATATTCCTTTTCTAATCTAAGTAATATAATCCCTCCCCGCAAAAAATCACGATGTGGTCACTCAATCCCCGGCTGTTTGTGGGACGCTGCTGAGCGCAATTGGCCGCCGCGTTTCACCATCAAATACACAGTCAATTCACTTTACAGTGTATCCTGTGAAGCGCTTTGAGACGGACGTGATAAGGCGCTGTGTCAAATGCAAGGATTATTATTGTTAAGTTATGGAGGTGCAGGTGGTTCTGACCTTGTGCTGGTCTGGTTAATTCCTAGTAGGTGGGGTTAGTTATATAAGTGACTTTTGGTTCTATATATGGTGCAGTGCCTCTTTAGGAACATAGGAGCAGGAGGAGGCCATTCAGCCCCTCAAGCCTATACCGCCATCCTACAAGATCATGACTGATCTGTACCTTAACTCCAATTACCCGCCTTTGACCCATATCCCTGGATAACCATTTGAATGAACTGATTCCTCTCTCAGTGATTTTGTTTAGGGGCTGTCTTATAAGCCATGTTTTAATTTTTGTTTATAAGCTGTTATTCAGCTAACTTAGTGTAAGGCAAAACACAATGGTTTAACAGTCACAGTTGCCAAACAGGGAATGAGAAAGTGATGGGATAAGAGAAGGAAGGGCTAGGATTACAGGAGGTTAGCCATAGATCGTGCTGCATGACATTATGTAAGCCAAGCAGTTAAACAGTGTTCGTTGAGGGGATATAGTATCACAAGAAGATTGCTTCACTATATCACTTTTGAAGATTATTGTACAAAATGCAAGGAGTTGTGTTTGAGCAAAATATAACCATTTTATCATCATCACCACCATCATCATCATTATCAGCAGCAGCAGCAGCAATCTACCTTTATCTACCTTTGGAGTCCTGTAGCTCAGTGGTTGAGCACTCGCTTTGCAAGTGAGAGACCTGAGTTCAATTCCAGGCAGAGGGCCAAACCTTGGGCAAGTTTCCTTACTCCACACAGAGCCTAATAATAATCCTCCAAAACCAAAAACAATAATAAATTGGTCATTTTCAATCTATGACTGTTTGTGGGACATTGCTGTGCGCAATTGGCTGCCGCGTTCGCCCACAAATATACAGTCAATTCACTTTACAGTGTGTTCTGTGAAGCGCTTTGGGACGTCCTCCCGACGTGAAAAGCGCTATATCAAATGCAAGGATTATTATTATTATTATATTTGGAGAATCTGATTTGAAGAGGTTATGCAATAATAATAATAATCCTTGCATTCAATACAGCGCCTTATCATATCTTCGAGACATCTCAAAGCGCTTCACAGGATACACTGTAAAGTGAATTGACTGTATATTTTTGGATGAAATACAGCAGCCAATTGTACACGCAGCGACCCACAAACAGTCGTGGATTGAGTGACCACATTTTTCTTTGAAGGGATTATTACCCTGGAAAAGTGATCCACCAATTGGCTAACAACCGGGTTCTTACTGACTGCTGGTAAACAGAGGTGTGTAGAGTAAGGAAACTTGCCTGAGGTTTTGTCCTGCCCGGGAATCAAACCCAGGTCCTCTCACTTGCGAGGCGAGTGCTCTAACTACTGAGCTACAGGACTTCTTTTTAATATCCTCTACCATTTAATGTATTCATGAATTCCCCCAAACTTTGTCTACTGCTCGTAAAATCCTCCTTCACGTTGGCTTTGACTAATGGTGCTCTCTTGTTTAAGGTAAAAAAAACCAAAAAGAATCTGCTGAAGATAAAGCTAAGCGTTTGATGACCAGTGGCCAAACAGGTACGATTCAATCCAGGAGACCATAAAGTCATGCTCCATTTGGGAATAAAACCCGGGTCCTCTCGCTTGCGAGGCGAGTGCTCCAACCAATTATATCTAGAGTTTACTTTTCAAAATATATATTTTGTGCCTCCGCCATTCTCTTCCTTTCTCTCCTGAAATTGCTGCATTGTGTTGGTTTACAGCACCAAAGACTTACGCTATCTCTCATTAATTTACCTGACTGTTGACAACAACAACATCCAAAAATGACATTTACACAACGCTTTTCATGTCAGGAGGACGTCCCAAGGCGCTGGACAGTCAGGGGTTTGCACCCGAGCTGGGGGTTGGGATCCGGAGGGCTGGAGGGCGGGAGGGTGGGGTTAGGAGGGTGGCCGAAGGCGCGGTGGAAGAGGAGATTCTTGAGATGGGCCTTGAAGGACACGAGGGAGGGGGCGAGTTGAAGGGACTGCGGGATGGAGTTCCAGAGGGTGGGGGCAGAGAGGCCGAAGGCCTGACCACCGATGGTGGGCCGGGCGGGGAACCTGGAGCAGACCAGAGCCTGCTGAGCGGAGGGAGTGGACAGGTTGATATAACAATCTATTGACAGGATAGATTGGCCAATATCATT